ATTTTGTTTTCAGATTTTGACTTATGTCAAATCCTTCTTCAGCTCAGTCCAAGTTATTTATTTAAGACTTCCGTTCAATTCAGGTCATTTTATTTTCAGATTTTGACTTATGTCAAATCTTTCTTTGGCTCAGTCCAGGTTATTCATTTCAGACTTTGATTCAATCCATGTCGTTTTGTTTTCAAATTTTAACTTATGTCAAATCTTTCTTCAACTCAGTCTAAGTTATTCATTTCAGATTATGATCAGTTCGAGTCATTTTATGTTGGATTTCGACTTATGTTAGATCCATTTTTTGGTCATTCCATTTTGGACTCGAGCTAAACTATGCCAAAGTGTTGTCTTTCTTAAATAAGATCATAATGGGTGTCTACGTCTTTGCATAATTTTTGTTTCAAAAAAAATATACAAATAGGGGCAACCGTAGATACCCATTTTTCAAATATATTTTCTTGGTGGGCTTTGGATAAAGATTATAGAATGAAAAATAATAATAAGTAAAAATAGAGTTCCAATTCTAATAAAACTCTATCGAAAATTAAATTTTAAAACTGGATAAAGGGATCCTATTTTAAAACCAAGGAAAACAGATTAGGGGATAGAGGGATTTTGATTTTCAAACCCTCGTTCAATCTCGAATTAACCTTATATAAAAGCCAGCAATCACAAGAATAAGGACACAGAGAGAAGGGGGAAAAATAAAAGGTAATCAGAATAAAATTTTTTTTGAAGAAGCTATAGTTTAAAGTATGAGGTTTCTGAGAAATTCATTGTTTAGATTGGAGGATTAGTTTTTTTTTTTTTAGGAAATTTTTTGCATTTTTTGGAAATTCCAGAATTAGGTTGAATTTTTCGATAACTTTTTAGTGAAAAATCTAATTTTCGACGATAAAACCCAAAAACCAATGATTTTTTCAGCATCATTCGACGACAAACAATGATCGAAAATCACCTAAAGAGGGAAATAGAAGAGAAAAGAGAGAGAGAGCAAGGGAGACATCTGAAGAAAAAGGAAGAATTCTTAGCTTTTATACCAATATGAAATGACACCGTTTTGAAAAGTTAAAAAGTGGGTAGGATCCACGTGTCGCCTGAAATCCAACCCGACCCGTAATGCATTGACCCACCAACCCATTTTCATTCTTCCCTATTGAGCTTTTAAGCCGAGCTACATACCAAGCCGCCTCAGCTGAGTTTGTCTCTAGAGCTACACTCTATTCGAGCCTAGTCGAGCCGCACCAATTTTTTTTCTCTATTTTTCTACTTATTTATTATTTATTTATTTATTATGATTTTTTTGCTTATGTATTTATTGATTAAATTGAAATCATTTATTTATTTAATTAAACATTCTTTAATTTTCAATGATTTCCTGAAAATAAAATTTTAAAAAAATGTATTTTTGAGAAAAAGTTAAAAGTATTAATTTTCCTTGAAAATAAAAAATTTTCAAAAAATATTTTTGAGGAAAAGTTGAAGGTATCAATTTTTCTTGAAAATAAAGATCTCAAAAAATATTTTTGAGAAAAAATTAAAAGTATTAATTTTCTTTGAAAATAAAAATTTTAAAAAGCATTTTTGAGGAAAAGTTGAAAGTATCAATTTTCCTTGAAAATAAAAATTTACAAAATATTTTTGAGGAAAAGTTGAAAGTATCAATTTTTCTTGCAAATAAAGATTTCAAAAAGTATTTTTGAAAAAAAGTTGAAGGTATCAATTTTTCTTTGAAATAAAAATTTCAAAAAAAGCATTTTGGGAAAAAGTTGCAAGTATCAATTTTTCTTGAAATTAAAAATTTCAAAAAAGGTATTTTTGAGGAAAAGTTGAAAGTATCAATTTTTCCTGAAAATATAAATTTCAAAAAAGGTATTTTGAGGAAAAATTGAAAGTATCAAATTTTCTTGAAAATAAAATTTCAATAAAAAAGATATTTTGAGAAAAAGTTGAAAGTATTAATTTTTTTTTAAGATAAAAATTTCACAAATGCTTTAAAAAAAGTTGAAAGTATCAATTTTCCTTGCATAAAGGCATAAATTTTTTTTAAAGTAAAAAAAATAATAAAAGAGATCCCCATAAAAGGTTAAGTATTATTCCTTTTTCTTTTCTTGAAAATCTTTTAATGTTAAATAATTTGACGATGGAGCATCTACAAGAGAAACAATAATTTTTTTATATATTCTTGAGGTGAGGAAATTTTTTTAATTTTCTACCAAAAGTATTGGAGTCAATTAAAAATAATTTTTAATGATTAATTACTTAGTAAAATTTTTAAGATTTAATGGATAACACGAAATCGAGTTGGTACCATCTTTCGATGGACGTTATAAGGGTGCTATAATTTTTCTCGCACGTAACTGCACTCTCGGATCTAGTTTTAGTTTTGCAGACATTGAATCTACTTTTTAAATATGCCGATGTTAAACTTAGGATTTCTTTTTAAATAATGGATAGATTCAATTAAGTGATCAATCGCATCTAAACAAAAAAGATTGATGGCGACTCTTCAAGTCAATATTTAACGATAGGTCCACAAACCTAGACGTTATGACAATCAATCAATAAATCTCTCCAACATCCATTTGTATTCAATTAAACATTTATTTGAATGAAAAAGTTAATACCAATAAATTTTTATCAACTAAGAGAAATTATATCTGATATCAATAAAATAGATTAAAATTTGACACATGACGTAATTAACATATGTAAAAATTAAATAAAATATTTTTTTGTTATTCTTCCCTTTTTCTCAACCTCTCTCTCTCTTTTAAGATAATTCTAAGAGTTTAACTGATTATAGTTTGAAGGTTAGTTAATTAAATTTAACCACATGATTAGATTTTGTCTATTTAAAAGTTCAATTAAATCAAAATAGAAGATTAAAGACTTAATTGATTATAATAAAATATTAAAGACTTAAATAATTATTGAATTATAATTCAGGAGCATTTTTTATTCTTTACCCAAATATCAATTTTTTATAAAATTTGAAATTTTATTTATTACTAATTAAATTGTAAATTTTTAAAATTAAATGATCAAAATAAAAATTCTTATAAAGCTAAGTGATCAAAATTTATTTTTTTTTCAAAATTTAAAATACCATGCCAATAATACCACTTAATTTATCAAATGATGTGATAATGTCAAGTAACACCTGACAATTAATGTGATATTATTACATCAAGACATCCGTAAACACTAATGATGAAGTGATAAAAAAACTTACTTAAATTTAAATAATTAAATTAAAAAATTTTAATATTTAAATAATCATTTTAAAACTATTCTTAAAGAATGTTTGGTTTGAGAGAATCTATAAATTTTTCATCAAAATCTTGGTAGTAGGTATTTATTTCCCACATTTGATTTAAGGTAATCTAATTATGAGAGAAAATGTCAAATTTTTAACAATACCCAAGTTCTAAAATAAAAAATCTACCTCTCTTTATTGTATTTTAGGATTCCGAGTGAAAAAGTTATCTTATTTTCAAATTTGACCTGAATAAAAAATTTGTCACATATCCATTATCCTTTTAAAAAACAAGTTTGAAACTTAGTTTTAACTATTTTTTTAAAATTTGCCTTATTTTTAAATTAATTTTAATATATGACAATTAAAGCGTTTCAAGGAAGAAACCCCTTAATTACCACATATTACAATTTTGTTTAGAGTTTTGAAGATCATGTTATAACATGATTGATTATCAATTAAAGTTTGATAAAAATTCAAGTGGCTATTAGGGTGACATTTCAATGGAAAAACGCCTTAATTGATAATTAATTAAAGCACCCCTTAATTGTGATGTATTAAAATTTTGTTTAAGGTATCAAAAATTGTATTATGACATGATTGATTAGTTTGATAAAGATTCAAGTGGCTATTAAGGTGATGCTTCAATGGAAAGATGTCTTAATTGATAATCAATTAAGGAACTTTTTTTTAAATAAATGCCTTATTTGATACTTTTTTTTAACATATTTACAAAACCCATTCAAATAAAACGTTTCTTTTTTTCAAATATCTTATTTGATAGATGATATTTCAAATTTTTTATTCATTCAAATAAGGTGGTTCTTTTGAACAAATGCCTTATTTGATATTTTTTCTAATATATTTACAAAAGCAAATAAGGCATTCAGCTATTCCAAATGCCATAATTGATAATTTTTATATTTTAATACAATAATTATGGTTTAATGCCTAGTTAAATAACATAATTGGTATATTTAATTAAAAAATTAAAGTCTTTATTTTCTTTTACTGCTAAAATTATCTTTTGTTGTTTGAATATTTTTTATTAAAACAAAATGAAAGGTTGTCTATCGCTTTCAAAGAAATTATAGTAATTATACATGAATTAATAAACTAAGATATCTTCAATAAAAAAAGTGAATCTAATTACGATATATTCTGAAAATCAAACAAAACTTTGAATATCAAACTTTCTCGAATATCATACTTTTTCTCAAAATTTAAGATTCTACGAGCCAAACATCATCTTCTTAGAGTTAGATATCTATTTATGTATTTTATCCCTAAAATAATTTATGGGATACTGGAACTTGCATGGAGTACAGAGGAAAGGCTGAGAGGAGGTGCAACGTATTATCGAAGTTGACGTGGAAGTGACCCGTTGGGATCATATTGCTGGGCCCGCGATCCAATGGCCAATATAAGAAGGTGGTACAAATCAGGTGGAGATGGGCTTACAATACGAGTATGGTTTACCCAATGAAGAAAATTACTAGTGTACTGGTATATTAGTGTTTTTCTGACTTTGAAGAAAAAAGTTTTTATGTTTGCAAATTTTATATTATAAAATTTAATTTTTTTATAATATTGTTGTTTAACATTTTGATTTATAATTAAAAATTCATTTAAAATATAAAAAAAAACAATATGTGTTTGAAAAATGAAAAAAAAAAAGTATAGATAAATTGAATTTGCAAGATCAGACAATAGGAATTACATAAAAAAGATTGTTTTATAGGTGAAACCATTCAAAGACTGGTAGAGTCCACATTTTTAACGCAAATGCAGCTGCAAAAATTAAGGTAACCTAGTAAATTTTGAAAAATCTGGGCGTCTACGCTGCACATATGCTGTCTCTCCCTTCTTCAGTGCCATAAAGAATTAGTGTAGCATTTCCACCGAGTTCCTGCAAAAGTAGGTTAAATAAAGCCAAGGTTTCTTTTTTTTTTTTTTTTCCTTTTTGCCTGAACAGTGAGGGATCATTATGATCCAGTTTAGTTTAGCCATTTGGTCAAAACAGACTGCTGCAACAATGAAATACAGGTTTCTAGCTCACGTTAGCTGGTCTTCTTTGAGCCTAGTAATTTCTCGTCTTATTCGATTTTCTCATCATTTTCTTGGCCAATCACATCAATATTTCATAGTTTTTTGCTGTAGTTGCTCATTATTGTTAATACGTGTTGAGTACGTATTTCTCATTGGCTTATTGCAAATTTGTGATGAGTAAATTGGGGATTTCAACAGGAATGACCTCTGATCCAATTAGGAGATCTGAGATCAAAGGAGTTGGGGCAAAAATGGATGACCGAGTTGAATCAGACATGGAAGAGGTAAATCAAAAGGAGAGCACAATGGATTGGAGGAATCTATTTGCAGCCTCAGTGGATCAAGCGTTAGAGTACTTTCCCCCTCAACAGACAGATGGCAGAATAACTGTAAAACCTCCTGATGTCTTCGAGGAAGGTATCCATCAATGGCAAAGCTTGCTGGTAGCTCAGTTCATTGGGAGGATGCCAAATTTCAATTTATTTCAAAAGATGGTTAATGTTTTATAGGGGAAAAGCGGTTTAATTGAGATCAAGCCTGCTGGAATGAATCTGTTTGTCATTCAATTCCCAAATGAGGAAGTTAGGGATTGGGTGATAGAACATGGACCATGGCATATCCAGAACAAACCATTGATTGTTCGGAAATGGGAGCCAGGAATGCGATCATTAGAGTTTAATATGGAAATGCTGCTAGTATGGGTGCAATTGGGCAATATACCACTTGAGCTCTATACGAAAAGGGACTTAGCTATATAGCTAGCGCCCTAGGTAATCCATTATATATGGATTCAATCACTGCAAATAAGCAGAGACTGGCATATGCAAAGATTTGTATTGAGAAGAAGGCAAGTATGGAAGTGCCAAAGTTCATTGATGTGGAAAGGAGGGATGGATCAATTATGTCTGTTTCAGTAGAAATTCCATGGATGCCCCAGAAATGCAAGCACTGTTGTATATTTGGGCACAATGATAAAACTCGTACAAAGACAATAAAGATAGAAGCAATGGTCTGGGTGCCTAAATATAAGGGTAATATGGCTATGCAGGAGGCAAAGATGACTGAAGTGGATGAGTTACAACCAGATAGTGCCATAAGGAAAAATGAGGTTCTGATTGCACTCCCAACTGCTAGAGCAGGCTCTGTTAATAGATTCTCGATCTTAGAAGCTCTGCAGGAATCAGAATTGGTAGTGGACGAAGGCAGTGTACATCAGAGTTCTAAAAATGAGGCTGAAGAGATAATTCCATTCTCACCAAGGAAACAGAGAGCAGTAGCTGCAGGTGTTGCTGATTTAATGAAGGCCCTTAAAAACAAGAAGAAAGGTCCAGTTGATAAGGGGAAGAAGGTTAAGGCAGAAGCCACTGCCTCTGGATGTAAGCCTAGTTGTTCTTCAACATGAAACTGATAGTATGGATTACTAGAGGACTTAATGATCCTTCGAAGACAAAAGAGTGTTGTAGATAGAATAAATAGAATGAGGGCAGATATTGTGTGTTTATTAGAAACTAGAATAAAGCATCATAAAATGCAGCCTGTGCTGGAAAAGCATTTTCGTGGTTGGGTTATTCTTCACAATTATGCAGCATCTCCAAACAGAAAGATGTGGATATTCTGGACAGATCATGTACAAGTAGATCTACTAGAGTTTTCTGAGCAAAGTATTACTTGTGTGTTACAATATGAAATCAGGAAAGTTTATTTTTCTGCCATTTATGGGAGTAATGATGGTGTTCAAAGAAAGGACTTGTGGTTGAACTTATCTCATATCGGTGGTATAGTGCAAGACAACCATTTTGGCTGGGGATTTTAACGTCATAGTCCATCCCTCTGAAAGCTCAGATTATAATGGAGTTCGATCAGTAAACTCAGAGATGAAAGATTTTCAGAATTGCTTAACTCAACTAGGCTTGTATGATCATGCTTATGTTGGACCTCAATATACTTGGTCTAACCATCAGTTAGGAAGTTACTTAGCAAGGAAGTTGGATAGATTTACTTGGACCTCAATTTACTTGGTCTAACCATCAGTTAGGAAGTTACTTAGCAAGGAAGTTTTGATCAATGACTCTTGGCTTTCAACTCTCCCACAGTCGCATGTTGAGTTCTTAGCCCCAGAAGTCTCTGATCACAATGCTACACTTGTCAAACTCAGCATGACAATTCAATTCCCTCCAAAGCCTTTTAAGTTTTTTAACTATCGGACAGGGAATCCGAAGTGCAAGTTAATTGTGGAAAGATCATGGGAAAACCCTATCAAAGGTAGCCCAATGCTAATATTGCATAAGAAGTTAAAGAGGTTGAAACTGGAGCTCAGGAAGTTCAATCTTCAAAGCTATGGAAATCTGTCTGGTAGAGTGCAGGCAAAGAGGAAAGAGCTGGAAGTAATGCAGAAAGCCATTCTAACTCAAAACCCACCAAAAGAACTGGTTATGACTGAGAGAAGTCTATATGAAGAACTCAAGGACCTGATGAAGGCTGAAGAGAGTTATTATAGGCAGAAATCAAGAATAAGATGGCTGTAAGATGGTCATCAAAATACAAAAATTTTCCACAGACTGGTAGCAGCAAAGCATAAAAAGAATACCATACGAGTCTTAATGGATCCAGAAGGGAAGAGATTGGATACATTTGACCAGATTTCGCAGGAAGCAATCTCCTCCTTTCAGAAGTTAATTGGAACTAAGGATCAAAATGTTACAGGATGCACACATGAGTTTTTGGCAGAGCTCTTTCAAGAGACCTTATCTACAAAGGCTCAAGATTTTCTCATACAACCAGTAACTAAAAAGGAAATTTAGAAGACAATGTTTTCATTGAATGGAGAGAAATCCCCAGGCCCTGATGGTTTTACGGCACATTTCTTCAAACAAACTTGGAGCATTGTGGGAGATGAGGTTACTAAGGCTATAGAGCATTTTTTTTTTTCAAACTGGGAATATGCTACCTGCTTTCAACTCTACAATAGTAGCATTAGTTCCTAAATGCAACAATCCTAATAGTACAAGGGATTACAAACCGATTTCTTGCTGCACCACAATCTACAAATGTATCACTAGGATTCTGGCTAATTGGTTAAAGAAAAATCTGCTTGGGATGATAAGTAGTAATCAAAGTGCATTTATAGAAAATAGATCACGGATAATGTATTGCTAGCTCAAGAAATGGTTCGAGGATATGGCAGATCCACTTTATCTCCAAGATGTGCAATCAAGATTGATCTTCAGAAGGCTTTTGATTCAGTGGACCGGACCTTCATACTCTCAGTCTTGCACGCAATGAAGCTACCAAATCAGTTTATAGGATGGATAAGAAGTTGCATTACTACTTTTTTCTTTTCTTTATCGCTTAATGGTGGACTAGTAGGCTATTTTAAAGGAGTAAGGGGAGTGCGGGAGGGAGATCCACTTTCCCCTTACTTGTTTGATCTAGCTATTAATGTTCTTTCCAGAATATTGGATGCTGCTGCCGAAGCTGGTGTCTTTGATTATCATCCTAAATGCAAAAGAATTAAATTAACTCACCTTTGCTTTGCTGATGACTTGTTGATTTTCGCAAAGGGAACATTGGACTCAATGGCAGGGATAAAGGTGGTGTTAGAGGCATTTTATACTATGTCTGGTCTACAGTTGAACTGTGAGAAAAGTGAGCTTTATCAGGCAGGGTTAGCAGGGAAGAACTTGCCAGAATCCAGCAAGCTTCTGGGTTTAAGATTGGTACGTTACCAGTTAGGTACCTTGGGGTCCCATTGGTAACTAGAAGGCTCACAGAGAAAGACTGTGCACCCTTAGTTGACAAGATAATAGCAAGGATTAATAGTTGGGCTACAAGACACTTATTATACGCTGGCAGGTTACAACTAGTGCAGTCAGTGCTTTTTAGTGTGCATAACTATTGGTGTAGGCATTTCATTCTCCCAAAACATGTGCTGAAGAGGAAAGGAAAAGAAGGATCAGCAAAAGGAGCTCGAGTAAACTGGCAGGCAATATGCTATCCCAAGAGGGGGGCTCAATGTTAAAGATATCTTGACCTGAAATCTAGCTTGTGTCTTGCAGAACATCTGGTCGATAATTGCAAAAGCTGGTTCTTCGTGGATTGCTTGGATTGAAGCTTAATAATTGAAAGGGAGCAACATATGGCAAGTAGCAGCCAAGCAAACTAGTAGTTGGAATTGGAGGAAATTGCTTCAAATAAGGCAGATTGTGCAAAGCTTCATCAAAAGGGAAAATGGAGTGGAGGTATGGCCATTTCCAAAAGGACGTTATGACACTACCATGGTATGGAAAAAGATCAGACCACAATAACGGAAAGTGAGGTGGCAGAAACTAATATGGTTCAAGTATCACATCCCAAAACATTCGCTAATAACCTGGATGGCGATTTTGAATAGGCTTCCAATGAAGGATAGGTTGAGATCATGGGGAATGGAAATTGATAGTAGAAGCAACTTATGCCACAATGAATATGAAACAAGAGACCATGTTTACTTTGAGTGTGTCTATACAAAAGAAGTTTGGCAAAAGATTCTTCAGCCATGCAAGATTGATAGAAGAGTAGGAAGTTGGTACACAGAACTGAGCTGGTCAGAGAACAGATTAAAAGGGAAAGCCTTGATCTCAACTCTGTTGAGAATTGCCTGGAATGCGTGTATATATTTCATATGGGGGGAAAGGAACCAGAGGATATTCAAGCAAGGGGAGATGACAACAGCACAAATGGTGGACAAAGTCAAGGAAATTGTAAGATATAGGCTACATGGATTGAAACATATTGCAGGAGATATGGTAAACAAAGTGAAGATTGAAATCTTAATGTAGATTTTTTAGAATAAGCTGTTTATGAATTGTGTTCTTTTGTTTGTTAAGTTGTAGAATAGTTATATTGTAGCAGATTCCTGCTGACTTTGGATAAATAAAAATTCAGCTTATCCAAAAAAAAAAAAAAACAATGAAATACAAGTACCTGTAGTCCAGCATGGCCATCATCAACTGCATTAAGAGCTGATTTCAGCACTCGAATTGCTGTTGGACCGTTTCTTAAGATCTCTCTGCACCATTTAATTGTTTCTCACTCTAATTTCTCTAGCTGTTGAGGAATTGATTAATGGGAGAAAATGAGGAGATGGTGATTAGATCATGGAAGAGGCAAAGAGAATTGTTAATAACGAGAACAACTCACCAGCACAACAGCATTGACAAGTCCCAGTTTCTCTGCCTCAGAAGCTGTGTAAAATCTTGCAAGAAACCACATTTCGCGTGCCTTTTTAGGTCCAACCTGTTAATCCAAATCCAGATTGCATATAAAACAGAGTACGAATATCATATGTGCCAAATAAAAGCTGACATCTTTCTTACTGCTTACCAAACGAGACATAATTGAACTTCCATAACCAGCATCAAAACTTCCTACCTGTGGTATATGCAATCAGATAAAAGTAATCAGCGTAAAAACATTAACAAAAGTAGCATAAGCACCTTGCACCAGAATTTGGAGCGCGAATTTTGGTACAAGGAAATAGACTTTTGAGTTTTGACTGTGGTCTACAACCACCATCCTAGAAGAAAACCACAAAATCAACCAAGCAGGGGCTAAAGAAGGGCATTCCCAGCGAGCTTTTTTACATGAAATAACAGAACATATGTATGTAATCAGCTTGGGACCAGTTTGGCCAAAAATAGCATTATCTGCAGCAATGGTCAGATCACAAACCATATGTAACACATGTCCTCCTCCAACAGCATAACCAGCAACCTGGCTTATAAGATCGATAGCAATTTAAAGACCAAAACGAAATCGGAACAACAAAGGCATGAATATTGTCATTGGAACAAGAAAAAAAAATCACCATTGCTATCACTGGTTTCGGAAGACGCCTAATTTGTACCTGCAATTGGATTAAAATCAAGATAGATAGAGTAACTAATAAATTAAAGAATCAGAGATGTTTAATGGAGGAAAAAAACAAGGTGTTGCCTTCAGCATATGTGGAATTTGTACCTGAAGATCTAAAACATTAAGGCGGCCAAAATTTTCAAAATCAGCATAACCATCCGCTTTTCGCAACGTTTGGTCACCCCCGCTACAAAATGCCTTGCTTCCCTGCAGCATCAGATTGTCAAGTAGTATCAACATTAAAAAAAAAAAAAGTCAATAATTTGTGGATATGATGGAAAATTGAAAATTGGAAATTACCTTCCCCGTGAGAATTATGACTCCCACGGAATTATCATCCCTGGCGTCGTTAAATGCACGTATAAGCTTCTTGATCGTCTGCGGCCGGAACGCATTTCTTCTCTCTGGCCTGTTTATTGTAATCTAAAAAAAGCAACAACAACAACAATAACAACAATCAAAACCATTGAGCTTGTTTTCAAAGTCAAACAATGAAGCTGAATGGACCTTCGCAATGCCTTCACCGACGGCCTTTTCATAAATAATATCGGTGAATTCTTTCCCATACTCATCACAAGCAGTTTTCCACTCAACCTCATGGCTTGCAACTTCACCATGGATTCCATGGTAGCTATCATTCATCGAAGCCTTAGAGAACCCAATGGAACCACGGCTCCAACTGGAATTCGAACCTAAACCGACCTGCAGGAGATGGTTTGAGAAGGTTGCAATCCTCCTTGTCACGGCGTTGAGTTCCTTGTCTGGAATATGCGCCATTGTAGGAGTTCAGGAAATGTTGGTAAGAAGAGATATGGTTTAGCTTTGACTTTGGATTTTTTAAGATTTGGAGTGATTTAAAAATGGAATTATTGAAGCGAGGAGTGGACTTGAAAGAGAGGGAAGAGTTTTTTTTTTTTATGCGGATGGTGGAGATGACTACAGAGAACTGACAAGTGACAAGGGATGCCGTTGCTCGCGCCGTGTGGTTTTTCAGATTCGTGCGCTGCGTTGTAGCCAGTTTTGCAGATCGGATAAGGTAAGATGTCACTTGCGGACGTTACCTAAGTGCACCGTTTCATTAGCTGCTGCCTCTATAAATATATAAAATATAAACAAATGATACGGGCTGTTATTCGTTCATTTCAAATGGAATTATTTAAAATAAAATAAATTGAATTATAATATTTTATTTTCATTAAATTAACTGGATTTATTAATTTTAAAATTTAATTAATCAAATTTAATTTATTTAATTCTTGAATTAATTTAATTATAAAATTCATTTAGATTAAGTTAATTTTAAAATTTTAATTTGTTCATTTAAAATAAATTAAAAAATAATTTAATAAAATATTTAATATCCTAATATTAAATTAAAAATTTTAATAACTTATAAAACAAACAAATTATTAAATTTAAAATTTAACTCTATTAATTTATACATCAATTTATAAAAGTTGATATTTTAAGGTTCAAATTTTTATCCATTTAACTACATTTATTAATACCATGTCGTCCATTTCGGTGGATTTATAATTTTCGGTCAGTACATAAGATGCTGACTTTTAAAAAAAATTTTATTTAATAAAAATAAAATTAAAGAATAAAATATAAAAATTAAAGTTGAAACTTAATAGCTTGTCTCGCCACTTTTTATTGTTTTCTTATATTTTTAAACTTAAAATGATGATATTATTTTATATATTTTTAAATTTATTTATTTGAAATTTAAAAATACTATATATTTATTTTGTATATTATTAATAGTATTATTATATACATGTATGTTTAATTAACATATTTATATTAAATTAAAAAAATCTGAAATAATATATTTAAATAATAATATTATTTTTTAAATAAAATCAAAATGTTGTCTATATGGTATTAATAAATTTAGTTAAACGGATTAAAATTCAAACCTCAAAATATCACCTTTTATAAATTAATGTAAAATTAATATAGTTAAATTTTGAATTTAAATATTTTATTTTATTTTATAAGTTATTAAAATTTTTAACTTAATATTATGATATTTAAATATTTTATTAAACTATTTTTTAATTTTATTTTAAATGAACAAATTAAAAGTTTAAAATATAGCTTGATCTAAATGAATTTTATAATTAGATTAATTCAAGAATTAAATAAATTAAATTTGATTAATTAAATTTTAAAATTAATAAATTCAATTAATTTAATAAAAATAAAATATTATAATTTAATTAATTTAATTTTAAATAATTCCATTTGAAACGAACGAATAACAGCCCATATCATTTGTTTATATTTTATATATTTATAGAGGGAGCAGCTAATGAAACGGTGCACTTAGATAGACTTAGACCAACGTTCAAACGCACCGGGTTGTAACGTCCGTAAGCGACATCTTACCTTATCCAACCTGCAAAATTGGCTACAACACAGAGCGCGAATCTCAATCACCACGGCGCAAGCAACGCTATCCCTTGTCACTTGTCAGTTCTCTCTAGTCATCTCCACCATCCGCATAAAAAAAGGTAAAAACTCTTCCCTCTCTTTCAAGTCCACTCCTCGCTTCAATAATTCCATTTTTAGATCACACCAAATCTTCAAAAATCCAAAGTCAAAGCTAAACCATATCTCTTCTTACCAACATTTCCTGAACTCCTACAATGGCGCATATTTCAGACAAGGAACTCAACGCCGTGACAAGGAGGATTGCAACCGTCTCAAACCATCTCCTGCAGGTCGGTTTAGGGTTCCAGTTGGAGCCGTGGTTCCATTGGGTTCTCTAAGGCTTCGATGAATGATAGCTACCGTAGAATCCATGGTGAAGTTGCAAGCCATGAGGTTGAGTGGAAAACTGCTTTTGATGAGTATGGGAAAGAATTCACCGATATTATTTATGAAAAGGCCGTCGGTGAAGGCATTGCGAAGGTCCATTCAGCTTCATTGTTTGACTTTGAAAACAAGCTCAATGGTTATTATTATTATTGTTGTTGTTGATGTTGCTTCATTGATGATTACTAGCATTCTGAAAAAGCCTTTTCCATTTCAGAATATGCAGGAATTCCTATGGGAAGATAATGCAACAGACGCAGCTAATATTTTGCCCCCGCATGCCTAGAAAGAATCAAATAAATGGGACGTTGATATGGTAGGTGTCACAAAATGTATGCATGGAACAAAGTTCTCCAACGTATATTTTTAACACTCATTAACTGACACACGAATCCACATTGCCAACCCACACAAAAAGAGAACACAACTTGAAATCACCAATGCAATGAGAAACCAAAGGAACTTTAAATTTTCTACTCACTGTCAAAGCAAGTTGTGAGTGTGCAGTTAAATCTCGATATTTAGTACTCAATGTGATTAGTTCATTCCAGCAATACAATGGTCCTGCAGACTCCAACCTGATATAAAAACAAGATATCAATACCCTAGTACTGATAAACTATTTGAGAGAGGAAACATACTAAAAAACTTCAAACGCGAGTAAAGAAATCGAGTAGTTAGTTGATTAATGGAAATTTTCTGTTTTCCATAAAAAACCAAACCTTGTTTTCGTTGGAAGGCCACATGGAGTTCCGTCTAAGGACACTCTACATAGAGCTTGTTGAGAATATTGACTCAAATCCCATAAGAGATTTGTTTGAGATTTGTCAGATATTGTTTGATGGACAAGAAGACTTGCAAAAGAAGAATTCCAAGAGAAAGAGGATTCTTAATAGGTAAGTTGACTTGCAAGAGAAGAATTCTAAAAGGAAAGGGATTCTTAATAGGTAAGTTTGACTTACAGGAGAAGAATTCTAAGAGAGGGATTCTTAATGGGCAAGTTTGTATGGTTATAAATAGATGAAGTCTCTACAGGGTTAGGTATGAGAAAAAGATGTAAGAGAGTTGTAGGGTTTTGTGGGATAGACACCCCATAGGAGTATTGGGGCTCTACGTCTTATAGGTGTGTATGTTTGTTTGTGAGTGGACTAGAGGAGATTGAGAGGGTCTACATAGGTATGATGTATGGGAGCATATGGGTATGTGTTTGGTTATGTTGAAAGGGTGCACAAGGGTTTGGGTTTGTGTTTGTTTGGGTTGAGAATACTCTATAGGACTAGAGGAGATTGAAAGTGTCTTATGAGTATTTGATTGTTGAGTGAGGTTGATGATTTGATGTAAGTTTGTAATTCTCTACAACTAGTGGATCTTTTTTCTCATCCGTCGATGTAGGTCAGTTGGACCGAACCACGTTAAATTATTGTCTCTTGTGTGTTTGATTTATTATTTGATTTCGCTTCCGCTGGTGTGATTGGATTGGAGGCTTTTAGCTTAACAAATGGTATCAGAGCTGTGGTATTCCCCAACAAGTGGTATCAGAGCTGAAGGTTCGAAATGTGAAAAGAGTTGAAGATTCAAGATGTGGGAAGAGCCGATGGTTCGAGACATGGAAAAAGTTGACGGTTCGAGATATGAAAAGAGCTTGGTTTGAGACATGAGAAGAAGTAAGCTTAAAGGAGCTCGATTCAAGAGAAGAGTTCGAGTTTAAGTTTTGAAGATTGATGATTGGTTTGTATGAGGCGTGAAGACACAAGAGAAGAGAAGATGATTGTAAGACTTTCATTGCAGGTGGAGCCAAGCATGTCTAGTATGAAGACAGATGATTAATGGAATTTGAGTCAAGGTGGAGATTGTTGGGAATATTGACTCAAATCCCATAAGAGATTTGTTTGAGATTTGTCAGATATTGTTTGATGGACAAGAAGACTTGCAAAAGAAGAATTCTAAGAGAAAGAGGATTCTTAATAGGTAAGTTGACTTGCAAGAGAAGAATTCTAAAAGGAAAGGGATTCTTAATAGGTAAGTTTGACTTACAGGAGAAGAATTCTAAGAGAGGGATTCTTAATGGGCAAGTTTGTATGGTTATAAATAGGTGAAGTCTCTACAGTGTTAGGTATGAGAAAAAGATGTAAGTGAGTTGTAGGGTTTTGTGGGATAGACACCCCATAGGAGTATTGGGGCTCTACGTCTTATAGGTGTGTATGTTTGTTTGTGAGTGGACTAGAGGAGATTGAGAGGGTCTACATAGGTATGATGTATGGGAGCATATGGGTATGTGTTTGGTTATGTTGAAAGGGTGCACAAGGGTTTGGGTTTGTGTTTGTTTGGGTTGAGAATACTCTATAGGACTAGAGGAGATTGAAAGTGTCTTATGAGTATTTGATTGTTGAGTGAGGTTGATGATTTGATGTAAGTTTGTAATTCTCTACAACTAGTGGATCTTTTTTCTCATCCGTCGATGTAGGTCAGTTGGACCGAACCACGTTAAATTATTGTCTCTTGTGTGTTTGATTTATTATTTGATTTCGCTTCCGCTGGTGTGATTGGATTGGAGGCTTTTAGCTTAACAAATGGTATCAGAGCTGTGGTATTCCCCAACAAGTGGTATCAGAGCTGAAGGTTCGAAATGTGAAAAGAGTTGAAGATTCAAGATGTGGGAAGAGCCGATGGTTCGAGACATGGAAAAAGTTGACGGTTCGAGATATGAAAAGAGCTTGGTTTGAGACATGAGAAGAAGTAAGCTTAAAGGAGCTCGATTCAAGAGAAGAGTTCGAGTTTAAGTTTTGAAGATTGATGATTGGTTTGTATGAGGCGTGAAGACACAAGAGAAGAGAAGATGATTGTAAGACTTTCATTGCAGGTGGAGCCAAGCATGTCTAGTATGAAGACAGATGATTAATGGAATTTGAGTCAAGGTGGAGATTGTTGGGAATATTGACTCAAATCCCATAAGAGATTTGTTTGAGATTTGTCAGATATTGTTTGATGGACAAGAAGACTTGCAAAAGAAGAATTCTAAGAGAAAGAGGATTCTTAATAGGTAAGTTGACTTGCAAGAGAAGAATTCTAAAAGGAAAGGGATTCTTAATAGGTAAGTTTGACTTACAGGAGAAGAATTCTAAGAGAGGGATTCTTAATGGGCAAGTTTGTATGGTTATAAATAGGTGAAGTCTCTACAGGGTTAGGTATGAGAAAAAGATGTAAGAGAGTTGTAGGGTTTTGTGGGATAGACACCCCATAGGAGTATTGGGGCTCTACGTCTTATGAGTGTGTATGTTTGTTTGTGAGTGGACTAGAGGAGATTAAGAGGGTCTACATAGGTATGATGTATGGGAGCATATGGGTATGTGTTTGGTTATGTTGAAAGGGTGCACAAGGGTTTGGGTTTGTGTTTGTTTGGGTTGAGAATACTCTATAGGACTAGAAGAGATTGAGAGTGTCTTATGAGTATTGATTGTTGAGTGAGGTTGATGATTTGATGTATGTTTGTAATTCTCTACAACTAGTGGAATCATTCAGTAACAAGCAAATGGAACCGAGGGCAGACAATTGTAAACCATATTGAAAAAAAACTTATAATAATTCAGATTTCAAATTGAAAATTGGAAAGAAATTTGAATTTCACTACGGGTTACGCTGTAATCATCAAAACTTTTTAAATCATGCGCCATAAAATTTTTTGTACTAATTTGTATACTTACTGAATCAATCATGACAAAATTGCTAGTATGCATTCGGTGCTTAAACAACTTCCAAGTTAAAAATGAAAGGTCGATTAAAATTCGCGAGCAATAGTGCAAAAGTGAATTTGGACTAGAACCTAGAATTGGGAGATCTGGTGGAAGGCAAAGTTCCTTCCAATCTCTCGACACGAAAGGTAACGGGAAGATTGATGTCACAAGACAAGAAGAATCGAAACTCGTTGCCACTCATTCTCTCTTTTTTAGGGTTCTGATTAGCTCTGAATTTTCGTAATTAATAATAATGGATTTTTAAATACAGAAGGTTGGCCCTGCCAGCCAAAAGATGGAGATGGAGTTCGCGTAAAGGCAAGAGAACTGAAACTGTATTTGGCTTTCTATATAAAAAAAAAAGGGTATAATTAACAAATAATCACCTTGGCTTGGTGATTTAAATATTAAAATTTTTAATTTAACCACTACAGTTTGAGTAGATATTTTTTATGTCATTAAGCTGCAACTATCTAGCATTGTACTAATGTAGTATTGTGATATCAATTGTCAAATGTTAAGTAACATCATATGTCATATGTTGATGTAATATTTTTAAATTTAAAAAATAGAAAAGAGATTTTGATCATTTAATTTTTTCAAAATTTTAACTTTATAACTTTAAAATTTGATCATTAATATATAAATCTTCAAATTTTATTAAAAAAATAGAAATAAGTATTTGATATTTTTATTATATGCAATTAAATTATAAACTTTATTTTATTATTATACCATTTAAGTTTGAAAAATGAATAAATATTATTTAATTGTTAAAATTACTAAAATAACATTACTTCAAACCTTTGTGATTCAATCCATCTAGATAAATTCAAATATTAAATATTTCATAATATCAAAATTTTAATTAGATAGAAGTTCATAATTTTAATTTTATACAATAAAATAGTTAAAGAAATATATATATATATATATATATATATATAACAAAACAAATTTCATATTTTATAATGTTAAGGTTCTAATTACAATAAAATTATGTTATTTATATTTTCTTTAATATTTTACTATATGAAATTAAAATTAAATCTTAACATTATAAAATATAAAATACTTAATTGAATTTATTTAAATTGAATGAAAAATATTTAAAGTAATATTATTTTAGTAATTTATGCAAGTAAATAATATCCATTCATTTTTTAAATTTAAATAATATAATTACAATAAAATTAAAAATTTATAATTTAATTCTATGTAATAAAAATATGAAGGCTAAAGGGCTAAAAAAATTCCTGAACTATAATTAAAAATTCGTTCAAGACCTTTTTTGTTTTTTTAATTACAATCAATCAATAAATCTCTCTAACATCCATTTGTATTCAATTAAACATTAATTTGGATGAAAAAGTTAATACCATTAAATTTTTATCAATTAGGAGAAAATTCCATCTAACATCAATAAAATAAATTAAAATTTGGCACATGACATAATAAATATATATATATATGAAAATTAAATAAAATATTTTTTCCTTTTTCTTCCCTTTTTCTCTACCTCTCTCCTTGTAAAATAATTCTAAGAGTTTAATTGATTATAGTTTGAAGGTTAATTAACTAAATTTTACTACTTGGTTAGATTTTGTAAATTTAAAGGTTCAATTAAATTAAAATAGTAGATTAAAGACTTAATTGATTATAATAAATTATTAAAAACTTAAATAATTATTGAATTATAATTCAAGAGATTTTTTACTCTATGCCCAAATATCAAATACTTATTTTTATTCTTTTATAAAATTTAAAAACTTATTTATTAGTGATTAAATTGTAAAATTTTAAAATTAAATGATCAAAATAAAAATTCTTGTAAAGCTAAGTGATCAAAATTTATTTTTTTTTCAAAATTTAAAATACCACGCCAACAATATCACTTAACTTGTCAAATGATGTGATAATGCCAAATAACACCTAATAGTTGATGTGATATTGTTACATCAAGATGTCCTTAAACACTAACGATGAAGTGATAAAAAAAACTTACTTAAATTTAAATAATTAAATTAAAATTTTTTAATATTTATGTAATCATTTTAAAATTATTTTTAGATTGCGTTCGATTTGAAAAATTCATAAATTTTTCATCGAAATCTTGGTGATGGGTATTTGTTTCCTACATTGAATTTAAAGTAATCTGATTATGAAAGAAAATGTCAAATTTTTAATAATATCCAAAATCTTGAAATAAAAAATTCATGGTTTTCTATGATATTTTAAGATTTCGATAAAAAAAGTTGTCTTATTTTCAAATTTAAATTAATTAAATAATTTGTCATATATCTATTACCTTTTCAAAAAAATAAGTTTGGAACTCAATTTTATATTTTTTTATATTTACCTTATTTTTAATTTAGTTTTAATATGTAACAAGCGTTTTAAAGAAGAAACGCTTTAATTATCACATATTAAAATTTTGTTTAGGTTCTTGAAAATCTTGTTATGACATAATTAATTATTAATCACAGTTTGATAAAAATTCAAGTGATTATTAATATGGTGTTTCAATGGAAAAAAGCTTTAATTGATAATCCTTGAAACATTTTAATTAATAATCAATTAAAACGTTTCTTTAAGCAAATATATTATTTAATGTTTTTTTAACATATTTACAAGACCTTTTCAAATAAGGCTTTTTTTTTTCAAACGCTTTATTTGATAGACGATATTTTAAAATTATTATAAATTCAAATAAAGTATTTCTTTTGAACAAATATCTTATTTGATTTTTTTAATATATTTATATAAAAAAAATAAAGCGTTTAGCTATTCTAAATGTTATAATTGATTTTTTTTATATTTTAATATAGCAATTATAACTTGATATTGTTAAATGCTATAATTAGGTATATTTAATTAAAAAAATTAACTTTTTTCTTGTTACTAAATGTATCATTTATCATTTGAGTATTTTTTATTAAAATAAAATAAAAGATTACCTACTACTTTGAAGGAGATTAAGTAATTATATATGAATTAATAAATTAAAATTTTTTCAACCGAATAAGTGAATCTAATTACAAGTAGCCTGAAAATCAAACAAAACTCTAAACATAAAAAATTTTCAAATATTATTTTTTATCAAAATCTAAAATTTTACAAACCAAACAGCCTTTTAAAATTAGATAACTATTTATGGATTTTATCCTAAAAATAATTTATCGGATAAGGGAACTTGTTCGGGGTACAGAGGAAAGGCTGAGAGGAGGTGCAACGTATTATCGGAAGTTGACGTGGAAGTGCCACGTTGGGATGATATTGCCGGGCCCGCAATCCAATGGCTAATATAAGGAGGTGGTGGAAATCAGGTGGAGATGGGCTTACAATACGAGTATGGTTTACCCAATGAAGAAAATTACTAGTACACTAGTATTTTTCTGACTTCGAAGAAAAAATTTTTTATGTTTGCAAATTTTATATTATAAAATTTAATTTTTTTTATAATATTGTTGTTTAACATTTTATTTTATAATTAAAAATTCATTTAAAATATAACAAATAAGAGCATTATGCGTTTGAAAAATGAAAAAAAAAGAGAGTATTTTTACTACTCTTATTATAGATAAATTGAATTTGCAAGATCAGACAATAGGTATTACATAAAAAAGACTGTTTTATAGGTATGAAACCATTCAAAGACTGGTAGACTGGTAGAGTCCACATTTTTAATGCAAATGCGGCTGCAAAGATTAAGGTAGCCTAGGAAACTTCGAAAAATCTGGGCGTCTACGCTGAACATATGCTGTCTTCCCCTCATTCCCTTCTTCGGTGCCATAAAAAATTAGTGTGGCATTTCCACCTAGTTCCTGCAAAAGTAGATGAAATAAAGTCATAATTTCTTTTTTTTTTTTTGACTGAACAGTGAAGGATTATTATGATACGGTTTGGTTTAGCCATTTGGTTAAAATAGACTGCTACAATTATCATAATATATAAATTTATAAACTTATCATTAGACATGAGTTAAATGAAATCACTACCAATATTTTTTATTTAGATGTGATTGACCACCTAATTGTATCTTATATGCAAAATAGATATTATGTTCGAAAGTTGATTATGCATGAGAAAAGTTATAATATATTTCTAACGTTTATCCAAATGATGGTACCAATTTGATTTCAAATTATCCAAGCTTGAGTCATTCTTATGATTTTATCAAAAATTTAATATTAAAAATTAACCCTAAAATTGTCAATAGTTTGATAGCGATCTAGGATAATTCTCTCAGCTCAGAAGTATTTATGAAGATTGGTGTCTCACTCTGAAGAGGTTTCGTCGTCGGATTTATTAATTTTTATTCTAAAAAAATTAGTAAAGCCTCTCAATAGTTTGGTAAGGCTCACTTCAAAGTAATCCTCTAATAGTTTAGAGGATAAAAATTATGTTTTATTTATTTGAAAATATATTTCTTTTTTTATTGAAAGGATTTTTTATTTATTATTTGTTTTGTAAAACTATTTTTTTTCTTTTTTTTAAAACTTCTTTTTTTTTTTTTTACTTTTTTTCTCTTTTTAGAAATAAAGATGGTAGAAATAACTCTTTTTTCAAAAAAAAAAATGAAACCAGAAAATAATAAAAGAAAATAGATTAAAAATAAAATCAAATCAAATCAAAAAATAAAAATAAAATGAAAAAAGAAAAACTTACGATTGAGTCTGGTCGGTACTAGAGTTAGCATGCTAATCCTGAGTCAGGTTCACGCGGATCCTAAGTGGTCAAACCGATATCGTGTAGAGGCGACATATAAGCCAAGTCTAGCGCCTTTTTGCTTAGAAGCCTCTTCCCTCTCTTTTTCTAGCCAATTTTTCCTTTGCCTTATCTCTAGAAAACCCATCGGTAAATTCAATCAGAAATTGAGAATCTCACTGGTTTCTGGGGATGTCGCCAAAAAATTTAACCAAAAACCAAAAAATCCACAGTTTCTGAAAACATGCCAGTTTCTGAAAATCTTATCGAAATCTCGTTGGAAACTTCAACTTTCGTCGAAAAATTTCATTGAAAAATTTAAAGTTCTTCAAAAAAACAAAAAAATTTAAAAAAATCCAAAAGAATTCTCTAATAGCTCTAAACCTTCTCCGAACCTTTTGTAACCTTAAATTCACCTTTAGAAACCTAGAATCATGCCCAAAACTTCAAATTAAATCCTAAATCCCAACTTTTAAATCCCAAAAACCCTTACTGCTAAAATTCTCCCAGACTCTTTTTCAAAAATTTTTTGTGTTTCTATGTGTTCATCCTCTATAAAATCAGTCCAATTTATAGGCAATCTTAGGATTATTTTAAGGAAATGAACAAAATCAATCCAAAGCTTGAATCGTAGGATTGAATTCTATCACAATGGGATTTTAGGTCCTAAGATTTTAGCAATCCCATACTGATACGATTTGGGATTGAAATTTTGACCAAGTGGGATTCTGATCTCAATTCTATTTTTGTTCACGTGTGAATTAAAACCAAAAGGAAAGAAAAAAAGAAAGAACATAAAAGAAAAGAAAAAGAAAATATAATAATAATAATAATATTGATATTAATATAACAATGATATATACAAAAATACTAACAAAAGAAAAGAAAAATATAATAATAATAATAATAATAATAATAATAATAATAATAATAATAATAACAAAATACAGAGAAAATCAGTCTAACTAGGCTTGGACACAGATGGGCCTAATGGGACTAGACACAAATGGGCCTAATTGAGGTTCAGACACAAATGGATGTCTACAGCTGTCACTCTTTGCATATTTTTGTTAAATAAAGATGATGCAAAGACCTAGACACTCACTCTATTCCAGTCAAATCAGCGAGTAAAATCGACCAGTGGTAAACCTCGAGTTGAAAGTAAAATGAACTAACCTGAGTTGAGATCAAGTGACTGGGATGATGCCACGAATTTGAAAGTGATTTGACCTAAATCGAGATTGAATGATCAAGACAATATCGTGAGTCAAAAAATGATCTGACTTGAGTCGAGATCAAATGACTAAGACGATACCGTGAGTCTGAAGGTGACTAAGATCGAGTCGAGATCGTAAATAAATGATCAGGCTGGTGTTGCGAGTCTGAAAATGATCTAATCTAAGTTGAGATCGAATGACTGGGATGATGCTGCTAGTCTGAAGGTGACCAAGATTGAGTTGAGATCATAAATAAATGATCGAGCTGGTGTCATGAGTTTGAAAATGATCTAACTTAAGTCGAGATCAAATGATTGAAACGATGTCATGAGTTTGAAGGTGATCAAGATCGAGTTGAGGTCATATATAAATGATCAAGTTGGTGTCGTGAGTCTAAAAATGATCTAACCTAAGTCAAAATCGGATGATTGAGACGACGTCGTAAGTCTGAAGGTGACCAAAACTGAGTCGAAGTCATAAATAAATGACCAAGCTGGTGTCGCAAGTCTGAAAATGATCTAACTTACATCGAGATTAGATGATTGGGACGATATCGTGAGTCTGAAGGTGACCAAGATTGAGTCGAGTCGTTAATAAATAATTAGACTAGTGTCACGAGTCTGAAGATAATCTGACCTAAGTCGAGATTGGATAATTGAATAATGCAATTACATGTTTTATCTGGAATGCAAATGAAACATCAATTGTGATACTAAGGCTTCTGAATTTTTATTTCTGTATATCTTTAGCAAAGAAACCCTCATTCATTACCCTGAATATTTATCTTTACTATGCATTTTAGGGAAAAAAATATCTTTCATTAACATGAATGCACGTCCTTGGTAAAGAAACCATTTTTCACCAATTTGAATGCACATCTTTGGCAAAGCAACCATTTTTCATCAACTTGAAGATGATCTTCATCCCCAAAAGGCTATACTCTTGTTTTGAAAAAGTTCATTTTTGGTCCTTGTCTTTCAATCTTTCAAAGTAACATAATTTTGTATGACTTTGTTCAATTATTAATTATTATCCCAAATCCAAAGTGGGAGATGCAAATTATGCACTTATTCTTTTCATGGCAAGGTATAAAGAGAAAGGACAAAGATATTGGCAATGTATAGAACTAAAAGAGAACAACAAGATGGGTTTTTATTTATCAGGATAAGTAATAAATTACAAATGATGCTATAAAGGTACAAAGAGTGTATTTAAGAGTGGTTATTTAAGGTAGCAATCTCCAAGACAAATGATTAGATAACCATGACAATAAATCTTAGATCTCCTTTAAAAACTCAATCAAAACACAATGCCCCAATGCTTCAAAGCTCTTTGAAATTCACTTTCCTTGGTATGTCTTCCTAAGTGATGCCATATTCTATTCACCCGATTTTGCTTTCATTTAGTTCCAGTTGCTTTTCAAGGTTTTCAACTCGATCATTTTTTTTTATCCAAGCCGCCTTTTTAGGTTTTTAACTTGAACTCTCCCTCTCTTTTTTTATACAAGCTACCTTTTTGGGTTCAACTTGGACTCTTTTTTTTATTTTTTTTATATTTTTTAAAATCAAACAAAGACTTTTTAACTGTATCAGAATTAATAGAACTAGAAAACTCATCTCTATCTATTTTTGACAAAATTAAAGCTTTTTCTGAAAAGGCTCTTTTTACAATATATGGTCTTTTTCAATTCGGGATCCATTTCCTTCTATTATCATGTTGACTTAAAAGAATTCTTTTCAACACTAACTTTTCTTTTCGAAACTGATGAGGTTTGACCTTTTTATCATGAGCTCTCATTATTCTCTTTTGATACAATTAGTCATTACAGAGTGCTATCAATCTCTTTTCCTTAATAAAGTTTAATTGCTCATAGCGTTCATAAATCTATTCATCTTCTTCTAATCCCACTTCCATTCTTAGTGATGGGATTTCTATTTCTACTGGCAATACAGTCTCTATTCCATAAACCGGGGAAAAAGGAATTGCCCTAGTAGAGGTGTGTACGAAAGTTCAATATGCATGTAGAGCAAAAGGTAATTTCTTGTGTCAATCTTTGTATATTTCAATCATCTTTTTTAGAATTCTTTTGATATTTTTATTTGTAGTTTCTACTACCCCATTCATTTTTGGACGATATGGAGTTGAATTGTGGTGTTAAATCTTGAATTGAACATATACTTCTTGCATTATCTTGTTATTTAAATTCTTGGCATTATTTGAGATTATTCTTTTTGAAAGCCTATATCTGTAAATTATTTCTCTTTTGATGAACTTGTAGATCATTGATCTAGTCACAGTTATGAAAGAAGCAGCTTCAACCCATTTAGTGAAGTAATCAATCATCACAAAAATGAATCTATTCCTGTTTAAAGCCTTTGGTGTGATAGGCCTAATTACATCCATCTCTCATATAAAAAATGATCAAGGTAATGTTATAACATGTAAAGCATTGGGCAGAACATGAATCTTGTTAACATAAATTTGTCACTTGTGACATTTTCAAGTATAATCAATGTAATCTTTTTTCATTGTCAACCAGTAATATCCAACTCGCATAACCTGTCTTACCATCATATGTCATTTGCATGTGCTTCACATACGCCATTGTGAACTTTTTTAATAATCTTTTTGGCTTTAAAGGCGCTTACGCAGCGTAATAACACTTGGTTTTTACTTTTTTTATACAAAATTTTTTCATCTAAAAAGAATACCATAACCAATCTTCGCAAGGTTCTCTTATCACTTTTTGTGATCTGGATACTGCTGATTCTTTAGATATCATATAATATCATGATACCAAGGCTAACCATCCTCATTTTCTTCCAAGTTGGTACAATATACTGGCATGTCCTGATATCTAATATGATAGGTTAAATTTTAATAGTATCACCAATCTGTAC